ATATGGGTGGTTTGCTGTGTGAGGGGTGCTGTTAAGTACAGCTGATGTCCGAGGTCAGTTGAATTTATGTATTCGGATTTAGATACATTTGTTAATTTAATAAATTGTAGGCACTCTTTTCCTATTTCCGTTTCCTCTAATATGAAGAGGATTTGTAACGAGGCATTCCTTCCTATAAAAAAAATATTTACTTCTACATTAGAAGGAAACCTATTGCAAACTAAAGTTTTGAAAATTATAATTTAATTAATTTGGTTGAAGTTAAGCAAGAAATTAACATGCACATAATACTAATAAATTTAATGTCTAAACTCTAAAACAAAAAATAGTCAATTACTCACAACCTACAAAGTAGTTATAAATGCAATTCTCATTTTCTTTCTTAATTTGAACATTAATATGTAAATACACATGAACATAAACATATATCACAGAAGTAACAATCTATCAAAAGATTGTAATTAATTCTATGAAAATACATTTTCCACTATCTTCTCCCCTGGTTGATATATATATATATAAATATAGAAGTATTTACAATAACTGATCATATTAAAAGTGCATTTTCTTTTCTTTCCATCCAAACAAGGAAAAGGTGAGAGCTGTTATTGCAAATCCTTTTCATATTTGCTTTGCAATTGCCTGAAAAACATATATATGCATGTGGCTTGTTTTCCATTGAATTTAAAGATGAATTCAAGGTAAAGTAACCAGGTCTAGCTGGATGAAGTATTTAGATGTCTTAAGGATATGGTTAAAATTTCGTAAATAGAGTAATAGGATTGAAATAGTTGTCTTATAATAGATATTTATTGTATATGATCCAGATTATTCGATCAATAAACCATATATCGATAATAAATACAAATGTATTTAAAGATAAAAAATAATATTTTTCAAACTCTAACATGAGAATTAATTTGTCCCATTTTATTGAAAATCATTTCATGAATCATTCTCGTAAAAAATATATATGAACCTTCTTCACCATGCCATCCCAACTAGGAAAAATCACTTTTTCACTTTTTTTCTTCTTTTTATGTGATTTTTTAAGACTAAATCTTCACTTTTTTTTCCTTATAAATATAAAAGTGAGTGATTACTTGAGAATTACTAAGAGTATATTAATGACAAAAGAAAAAGAATAATATGAGTGAATTTGACTGATTATGATGGATGATGTGGTAAGGAAAGTTCATTTCATTTGGCATAATTGGACTTACACATAACTAAAGTTACAATTAAACTAAAAGTTTATTTAAAAGAAGTTAAGGCAACAACCGTAATTCTATTTTTAAAGAAGAAGAAGTGACTGATTTATCACATACGCATTTATATAAGGGTGAAGTACATAAATGATACTTCGTCTACAAGACATTACTTTTTTGAATCCATCTACTATAAAAAGTTGCAAAATGATCCCCTAGTTATATGATGTTGTTTTATTGAGTTCCTAATTATTAAAAGTTAAAAAATAGCCACTCAACTATTTATTGTTCCAACTCATCATTTTTCGTTAAAAAATTGATGGTCATCTTAATTGGACGTTAATATGTTGATTGATACATGATAGAAAAAATAATGATGTCTACTGGCACTGTTGTTGCTTTCAAGCACTAAGTCAACAACATAAAGTTTCAAGCTCGACGACATAATATAAATGGATAGTAGATACACAAAATACAACTTTAAACAATTATGAGATCATATTTTATTATATCTCAGTAAATAGATTAGTGCTAGCTTAGACAACCACTATTTTTTTTAACAAAAAATGACAAGTTTGAAACATATAAATAGTTGGGTGACCATTTTATAACATTTAATAGTCGAGGACTCAACAAACTATTGTCCTATAGTCAGAGGACCATTTCATAACTTTTAATAGTCGGATGACTCAACAACGTAACACCTATAGTTGGAGTATCATTTGTGTACTTTACCCTTTATATAATAACGGAACAACTTACGTAGAGGCCAACGATTGCCGACTTTCCAATTCCAAAGGTTAATATCCGATAAATAGGTAGGGGAGGAAGTGTTAGGAATGAGCGGACTGAATATATCTTGAATTGAAATGTAAATGTCTTTCAATTTGCCCAAATCTCTCTTTATCCTCAACATAAATACAGGATAGTAAAATTATAAATTTAATCTTTATATTATGTATAAATTATAAATTTAATCTTTATATTTTAATTTAACCATTTAGTTATTATACTTTTCAAATTTTAATCATGAACTAAATAATAACAGGAAAAAATTACTAAGTTAAATTGTATTATTAGTATCTATGTTTCATATAAATTGTAAATTTAGTTCATATTCTTTAATTTAGTCATTTTTAATATGTCAAATTCTTCTATTAGTTTATGTATTATGTGCAAGTTATGGATCTAGTTAGGGATGGGCATGAGACCCGACCCGATCCGGTCGGGTTTTTAAAAAAAATATTTTTGGATTCAGGTCGGGTCATGTTTTTTAATTGTGATGTTCGGGTCGGGTTCGAGTCTAGGGTAAAAAATACCCGACCTGAAAAAAAATATAATTTTCCCTTATATATTTAGGAATAATTACAATAATATCCCTCTATATATTATTTTTTTTCAATTAAATCACTGTTTTTATTGAATAAAAATAATATTTTTTTTATTATTTCGGGTCGGGTCGGGTTTTTAAGTTATATATCGGGTCAGGTGAAATATTGTTTTGGTTCGGTCGGGTCTCGGGTGGAGGATTCCTTGTTTTTGGGTCGGGTTGGGTAGACCAAAAACCCGACCCATCCCCATCCCTAGATCTAGTCCTTGAATTCTAATTTGGGTTGTTTATACTCCCTATACTTTCAAGTTCTAAAAGTTTGATATTGGCCTGAATAATAGTCATTAAATTTGTTAAGTCAAACTCTACTATTAATCCTCGTATTATTCATAGGTTTTAAATTTAGTTTTTATTCTTTGATTTGATCATTTTTAAGTCCATGTAATTTAGTAATATTATTTGTGTATTAATCGAATTATAACTATAATTTTACAATTTGAAAGACACATAGGACTAAAGTTGACCAAATTAAAGTATAGAGACTAAGGGGCTGTTTGTTTACTTCAAAATGATTAAGCGCTGAATGAATCAAATGCTGAATGATTCAGAGGCTCTGTATGAATTAGCGTTGAATGTGACATGCTGTTTGATAATGGCTCTGAATAATTCAGAATGTATTTCTGTGTTGAATCATTCAGCACTGTTTTGTTGAATCAGTCATCACGAAATAATTCAGAGGTGAGAAACAAACAGTCTGAATGTTGAACAGTTCAGCATTCAGCGCTGAATGGTTCCATTCATAGCCAAACAAACAGCCCCTAAATCAACAATTATTAGATGATATTCAATTTCATTAAATATTTATTTATTATTTAAATTAAAACAATAATATTTAGGTATAATGAGATATTTTGAATATGACTAACGGGGTTGGTTCAAGTGATAAGTATATTAATTCGTTTAAGTCGAGTTTGAAACTGTGTATGTAAAAAAATTCACGTTGATAGATTCACTCATCAAAATTAGGTGTACAATGCGGACTGGTCCAAAATAATCATAATGAAATCTGAAAATTAGGAGTGCAACCAAAAAATAATAATTTTTAATACGGGTAGAATGGAATGTTATCCCTAACTTTTACACCTGGTTTTTAGGGGTTTTTTCACAATGTCACCTTATAGTTCTACATTTTATTTGGACGATCAACTAGCGACCGATATTTTATTGATGTGGCATAACATCTTATTTTATTATGTTGTTATAGACTTTGATATTATCTTACCTTATATATCACATGAGTTAATTATTTTAAAATTATAAAAAAATTTAAAATGTTTAAAAAATATTTTTTCATCATTAGTAACACCAGTCTTGGAGTTGATAATTATTTTTTTCCTTTTCTTTTTTTTATTGCCTGAGTTATGTTATTTTTTTATTTAATTAGTGGTATTTTTATCTATTATTTATCTGTTTTTTTAAAATTTTAACTCCTTTTTTGTAAGATTATTATTATTATTATTAAGTGATTATTTTATGCATTTTACTTGTTTCAAGAAAAATATCTCATTTATATGATTAGAATACTCTTATTTTATAAACTTATACTCTAATTCAAAATATTTATTTTTTTAATAAAATTATCTGTTATTATTAATTTAATTTTTTTCATATTTAATAAAATTATTCTTAAAAAATCTATAAATCTTGTGTTTGCATAATCTATATATGTTTCGATATTAAAATCTCTTAAACAGAATAAATAAGTCCTAGAAGAAATTATGTTTAAAATTTTGATTCAGTGTGATTTTAAAATAATTGAATCTAATGAGACTACCTTTTTACTATATAATAAAATTTTATGCTAATATATTATAAATTATCAATGATTAAAAAATTCTAAATATATATTATCTTGTTATTATTTTAAATTATTTAAAAAAAGTTATGTATACAAATGAGTAATGACCAAGGTTGATACATTAAAAATGAAAATTAGAGTAATGGCCAAGGAATGAACCGTTGTGTATGTTATTTTAAGGCTTGATGATTTATTCTTCTCGAATGTAATTATATCCTAGATATAAACAATAAAAACATCTTTAATAATCTATGGGTTAAATAATACTTTTGACCCCTGAAGTTTACCTTATTATCACTTTGGTACTTGAATAATTTTGTAACTATAGTGCACCTAGGAACCCAAGATTTTGTAATTCAGTCACCAAAAATCTTCAACTTTTACTAAGTTTTTCATTTGTTTCTATGGATATCTTTTGAAAGTTTCCGGATTATTATCGGGAGCGGATGCATTCTAACTTGTTATAAGTGCTGGACTGAAGAAAAGGTCATTGTTTGTCCTGAATACATAGTTCTGATGGTTCAATCTACATTTTTCCAGGAGGCTAAAAATGAGTGCAATGGTAATTTCTATAATCCACTCACTGAAACTTGCGAGAGCAAACTGGAAAAGTTGATCAGGTAATAGCCTGTTAAATTGCTTATTTACATTGATTAACCGGGAATGTTCCGATAGTTAGAATTTGCATTCTCTTTAATTCGATTCTAAACGTTTGATTAATTGCAGAACATAAGGGATTTAAACATGTACACCATCCTAGAACTTTGTTATCATAGACCCGAAACACCCGAGACTATCAGACTACCTTCGAGCTTCTGGAAGCTTGGTGAGACCGACAGGCCTCTTTCTGTAAGGACAAGGATGTTTGGTCGTGCCTGGCCAATTAGAGCTCCTGTAAGAGATGGAATCATTCCAACGTGGCCACAACTTCTCAATAGCCTAAGTGTTCCGTGCACTGTAAGTTTTACTTATTCCATGTCAAGATTGCTTATTTGCAGCTTGTTTCAGTTAGTAGCTTTGCTCTTAAGGAGTTTAGTTTACAGTTTCATCTACTCTTTTTAGTCAAGATCCGACTCGTACAACCGATGTGGTTGTCCTTAATTATTTGTTATGCGTATCAAACTATCTTGTTGGGAGTATACTGATAAATTTTACTTGAAATTTTACGAAAATTGCATAGGATGATGAAGTAGCAACAAAATGGGTGAATGACCCTGCAGTTAGGAAGACAATTCATGCTGAAAACGTAAGCACTCTCAAAGTCATTATTCTCCTTGTTTTACCAAAAAAGAACAATAATTTATGATCCTTCGACACATAGGAGGCCGTGATCGGTGAATGGGAGTTATGTACGGACAACATCTTATATAATCATGATGTCGGTAGCATGATTAAGTATCACAAGAATCTTACTTCCAGGGGATATCGAGCACTCATATACAGGTTTCTTTTACTGCATTTCGGGTTTAAAGGCAAAATGAGTGCTCGATTTTCTGATAAATGGTTTGTATTCAACTTTTGTGGCAGTGGGGATCATGATATGTGTGTTCCATTCACCGGGACCGAAGCCTGGACAAGATCGGTCGGATATGAGATAGTGGATGAATGGAGGCCATGGACTTCCAATGGACAAGTTGCAGGGTAAATTCAGTCATTCCCCGGATCTCATGCTCAATCTGTTACTTGGGAATTGACTTTGAATTATCTTTTGGAATGCATTTGCAGGTATTTGCAAGGTTATGACCACAACCTGACCTTTTTAACCATAAAGGTATCAATCATTCGAGGATGCATCTTTAGAGAAATGTACTGAATTGTAAATTTATCAAATTCCCAGGTTTGATTCTAACCCTTTTTGGTGTGTATGAATACAGGGAGCAGGACACACAGTCCCAGAATATAAACCTCAAGAGGCCTTGGATTTTTACACCAGATTCCTTGCAGGGAAACCTATATGAAACAAATTTTCTTCTAATTTTTAAATTATAATTGCATGTTGATGATAGGTTATTCACATAATTTCTAAAATTGCATGTTGTTTCCTTTAGAATTAGTATCCATTTACATCTACGTTAATATTTTTAGTTATACCTCTTTTTATGATTGTTGGATGAGTACAAATAGATGATTAAGATTAAAAATGAGAAATAAGAAGATATTAAAAAAAAACAAGAATATAATCTCAGCCCTATTTTCACTCATCCAACTATCCTAAAAATTATAAAACTAAAAGTTTTAGGAGTAAGTGGATTCGAACCTATAATATGGAGAGGGAGAGACCTATAACAAGCACAACTTCTCTTGATACCAATTCTCCATCATGATTGGTTTTATGCATTCAGGCTGAGGCCTAAGGGAGCTATTTAGCAATTAACCCCCTTTTACCATGTACTAATAATGGCCGAAAATAGAATAAAGGTCAAATTATGGTTTTGGTATTATTCTCAAATTTGGGATTTAGTTCTTATACTTTATTCAAATAATATAATTAGTTAGTCAAATAGTTAATATGTGAATTATTTCGATAAAAATGTTGATGAGATTAAAAAAACACTAACTCAAACTCACTAAAAAGATTACCAAATTGAAGTAAAAGGACTGAAACATAATTTGAACATGATAGAGGGACTAAAATCACGATCTAACCTAAATCAAATTATATTTTTCTTCTTTCTGAAAATATAGAAAGACATAAATATAAATACTGGGTTGAGATGCCTGAGCTTTAACCCGCTCTAACAAAACTCAGGAACCATTGATGAAATTTATCCAGGAAAAAAAAACAATGCCATTTATCCCAAAACTTTATTTTTCATTTTCTTAACGTGAAAAAAATAATTTTTATTCATAAAAGAAATATTTATTTATTTAATAACTACAATATAAAATGGTTGAAATGGGAAGAAGTAAAAAGTGACTGAAAAGTACAGTGCAGTGGGCTTCAACAAAAATCGGGCCAATTCGAACCTTTTTCAACTATTACGGGTGATTTGACTCAAACATTACCATCAAAGCGGAATCAGCAAAGAGCCATGGCTTCAACTTCAATATCAGTTAACCCCCGACGCTCCTACAACCATTTTACCAAAGATGGCGGCGCTTCATTCAATGAAAATCGATTATGTTCCTTCACGTTTCAATCAGGCTTGTTGGGCTCCAAAATCCCAATGGAAAAGCTTTCACTCTCAGTCAACGGAACCAGACCAACCCGACCAGAACCCATCCGTTTTTCGGGTTCGGAATCGATGAAGGCTTCTTCCCGTTCTTTCGACGTCGTGATTGTTGGTGCTGGAATCATCGGGTTGACAATCGCCCGGCAGTTTTTAACCAAATCGGATCTATCCGTTGCGGTCGTTGATAAGGCCGTACCTTGCTCTGGAGCCACTGGTGCAGGTAAACCCATGTTTTTAGAACTGTTATCGTCCTCACCCCGACCGGCCCAATTTTTTTACTTCTCATTTCCTAAACTCCTATTGGGTGTAGGACAGGGCTACATATGGATGGTACATAAAAATCCTGCAAGTGATACATGGGAACTTACTAAAAGAAGTCACCAACTATGGAAGAAGTTGGCTGAGACGATTCGCGACCAAGGCATGGACTCGCTTCAAGTATTGGGTTGGAAGAAGACAGGTATTAAGTTACATAATTATTGCATAGCATTTTCGTAGGTTGGTGTTCGGTTTCTTTGCACATTCTTCTGTTATCTGTTTTTAACAGTTGAAATTTTTATTTGGAACATGGTGTTTTGAGCTGTAGGAAGCTTGCTTGTTGGTAGAACTCCTGAGGATTCAGTTATGTTGAGAAAGAAAGTGAGTCAGCTGTCTGAAGCTGGGTTGAGAGCAGAGTATTTGTCCAGTGATGAACTGCATTCCAAGGAACCTTCCATTTATGTTGGTACGGATGGTGGGGCTGCTTTTGCACCTGAAGATTGCCAGTTGGATGCTCATCTCGCAGTTTCATATATTGAAAAGGTGTCTTTATTATTATTCTTTTAGTTTTGTAACAGCATATGAAGTAATGATTGCTTGGACGTTAGCATATTCCTTTTGTGTAGGTTAACAGATCCTTTGCACCGAAAGGTAGATATGCAGAGTTCTATCATGAGCCGGTTACAGGTTTAGTGAGGTCTGTCGTTACTTTTCTGCAGTACATTCATGATGAGATGAAGATACATAACATATTTGTGTATCAGTATTCGGGTCCTTGTGTAACTTTTCTAGCTCATGTTGTTCAGATCTACTAGTAGTGGGGAGTACGAAGCTGTTCGGACTTCCAATAACACCTTGTATGGTAAGGCCATTATAGTTGCTGCTGGTTGTTGGAGTCGGTCTCTTATGCATGACCTGTTGAAAGACTCAAATGTTAAATTTGATGCCCTTGTAATGCCTCGTAAGGTGAGAATCCAAGATATAATGAATTCGTATAATTTAAGTTTTCATATTTCATCTGTCTATTATGTATATATTTTGGTGAATGGACCTATATATATGCAATTCTTTGATATGTCATGGTGATATTTTGGTAATGAGATTCTGTGATGCATCTTCCATGATTAATTTTTTGTTTTAAATGTAATATTTGCCTTATCTTTGATATCCACTACAGGGTCATCTTCTTGTGATTGAGAATTTTAATCCCCTTCAACTGAATCATGGTTCGATGGAGGTTGGTTACATCGATTATCAAAATGCAGCGTTTACTTCAGGGCAGAATGATCAGAGCCAAGCCTTGTCTGTTTCAATGACATCAACAATTGACACAATGGGTAATCTTGTTCTAGGTATAATGTTACACTTGCTATTCTCAGTGCTTGGCTTTTAAATGTTTGTCGAAACATGGTGAAATGATAATTTTGGTTTGGAAAAGGAAAAGAAGCATAAGAGTGCATTGAATTTGAACTTCATAATGTTTGTTTTCCTGATCTTAACAAAGTCTGTAGATTCTAACATCCAGATCTTATTGTTACATTATCTGATTGATGAAATTACCTTATACTTCTTAGTATTTCCCCATACCTCTGTAAAACAGAATGCAAAAATGAGCTTTATTATGTACATCTTTTGTTCCAGTTGTTCTTTGTGTTCATGTCCAGTTGATCATGTTAATTTGTTGTTGTACTTGTACATGCTTTTTCCGTAAATTTAATCCATCATAGGAAGCAGCCGTCAGTTTGCTGGGTTCAGCACCGAGGTAGATGACTCTATCGTTCTTCATATATGGAAACGGGCTGGAGAGTTCTTTCCCAAACTAAAAGAACTGCCCCTTACAGATTTCGTCAATAACAGAAAAGTGAGAGTAGGACTACGCCCCTACAGTAAGTCCATATGTATTCTGTCACACAGAATATTCCATACCATTGGGATACTCAGCTAATTTGAAATTTATACATGTAGAACAGATTGATCAAACATAAAAAATTACTGAAACAATGTCTTTACTTATATATCCAGTGCCTGACGGAAAGCCGGTCATAGGACCTGTTCCTGGTCTGTCAAACTTGTTCTTTGCAACTGGTCATGAAGGAGGAGGGCTGTCTATGGTAACTTCCTGTATTCTGGAAACTTTTATATTGTTCCATTTTGGAATAGACAATGCGGGTCTTTCCTAAGTTGTTTGCACTCGAATCAATGAATTGGCGATAAGTTTATTCGTCATGTTTGTTTAATTTTCAGGCTTTGGGAACTGCAGAAATGGTTGTTGATATGGTATTGGGCAATCCCACATATATTGATAATTCACCATTTGCTGCAAAGGGTCGATGTTGTTAGTTCAGTGTCCCTATGGAACAGTAAGAAGGAAAAACATCAAGGACGCCCGGTCTAATTGGACCAAATGTTAAGCTGCTGGTTGGACTTTGAACCCTTTTTTTTCGTTGCAAATGTAAAATGTAAACTACCAAAATAAGCGAAACTTTTAACTTTAGAAAATCAAGCTTGTGAACTCTATGATTTCCGGGGAAATAAAGGTTGTACTCAAAGCTCGAGTTTAGTATAATAAAGTGGTAAATATAAAAACTTTTGGTTAAATGTTTCATGTGATGCATGCAAATATGATTCTGTGTGATTGTATAAATGAGGTTTTGATTTGATTCAATTTAATTTTTATAAATTATTGAATTTCTTGTTGACGAAGTATGGTTTTATGTTATTATATTGTATATAAATAATTTTATTTATTTAACATAAAGAATAATATATGTATTTATTTTTAAAATATTTAAATTTAAATAAAAACAAAGAATTTGTATAATTTTATTAAATTAAAATTGTATTTTATATTTCAATTGAAATTTGTAATTTACCCAAGTTATAATGGAACCCACCTAGCAAACGAAAGCTCCGATTAGCCGAACCAAATTGCTTAAAACAAAATAAACACTGAAGCTCCCCTCAAAATCTCTCTCTACCTCTTCCCCCAAAATGGCAATTTCGACGCTCCAAAAACTAACCTCCCAAATCCACCGTATCCCCTCACTCTCCCCCATATCCTCACCCGATCCTCCGCCTCCTTAACCGCCCCCGCACCCTCCTCCAGAAAAGTTGCCGACCGGATAGTCAAGCTCTTCGCCATCGACCCTGAAGGCCATCAGCGTGAGGTTGTGGGTCTAGCGGGTCAGACCTTACTTCGTGCCTTGACTAACTGTGGGCTCATCGACCCAGCCTCTCACCGCCTCGAGGAGATCGACGCTTGCTCCGCAGAGTGCGAGGTCAACATCGCCCAGGAGTGTCTCGAGAGGCTTCCGCCGCGTACCTACGACGAGGAATATGTGTTGGTGAGGAATTCCAGGGGTCGTATCTTGAACAAGCATTCCAGGCTTGGATGTCAGGTCGTGGTCACTCCTCAGCTCCAAGGTATGGTCGTCGCTGTTCCCGAGCAGAAGCCCTGGGATATTCCATAAATTTTATAGGAAAAAAACAAAACATTAATGAGGAGATTTTTAACGTATTTCTGTTGTTTTTGTGGAAGTAAGAATAATTTTGTTACTTTGAAATAAACGAATTTTATTTCTGATTTTTGTGCATTGCTGCCCCATGTTACTTGGGTGCGTTGGAATTTAAATGAAAGATATTATACGGTTTTAATGCTATTCTGCATATTCTTCTTTGACATGCTTTATTAAACTGCTAGAAAATTCGGAGCCCTTTCGGGGGTAAGTTTCAGGAAACTGTAATAGAAATGAACTTGAGATTCTTTTTCTCAAGTATCAAATATTAGGTCGGGAGATAGAATTTCTAGAGCTGTAGAAAATGAAGTATATCGATTTTTTTCTTTTGAGGGTGTTTGATTTGTTAATTTGAGGTATCAAAGTTGTTTGAGGGAGGCACATTTGATTCTATATTCTTTTTCATCACTCTTGTATTTTAAGTGGTGATCTTTATTTCCTTAGCAAACTTAGTTGATGTATAATTGGTTATATTGAACAATGTTTTAGGTAGTGTCGTAACCGTCTTTCGGTTGGACCCGAAATTGGGCTTCGACTTAAAAAATGTGGATTGGAGTCGCCACCGATAATTTATTTAAAAATAAATGGGTTGATCGGATACCCTATTTCTTACCTGATCTACGTCTTTCCAAAGATGTGTCGGGTTCGGGAGTCGGTTACGGTTAAGGAAGGATTAACACCCTTGAACCGTCCTTTCGGTACTACGTACTTTCCAGTTGTCTTTGATTAAGAAAATTGCATTTTAAATTAAAAGGTAAAATAGCGATCCAAAACTTACCTTTTGACAGATTTAAATCATGCCTTTTAAAGAAAATCAGAAAATGTTAGATGAAAAGTAAGGAATAAATGAATAAAATAAATAAACCCAAGCAAGAAGGAAGATAGAATTAGTAAAAAAAAAGCTAAGATAAATAAATAAATAAGATAATAAATAAAATAAAAGCAAACACATAATCAATAAATTAATAAAACAAGTTAGAAAAACTAAGCGAAAGTAAAAAATACGAATACAAATACAGAAAAAGAAAAAAATGGATAGAATAAAAAAATAGTAATAAAATATGAGAAACTAAAAATGATAATATATATAACTATTAAGTAATAATAATAATAAATAGGAAAAAAACGCCACTCCACCGAAAATAGAAAAAGGGATACGAACTTAAAAAAAGGATACAGATTAAAAAAGGATAAATGTTTGGTCATCTAAAAGAGGGGGTAGGGCCTAAAGGAGTGATAATTCAAAATGTTAGGTTATATATATAATATAATATGTACATAATAATAATAAGATATGGTTTTTTAATACAAAGCAAATGAGAATGATGAAACGTGTATACATATAATACTAGAGAAACAATAAAAGCATATATATATATATATATATATATATATATATAGTTAAAATAAAATAAAACTAGAAAGCTAATGATTTAAAAAGTTTATATATATATTAATGTATATAAAAAGAATAGAATAAAATATAATAAAAGAAAATAATAGTATATAAATAAATAAAATATAAAAAAATATACATATAAATAAAATAAAACAAATAGATGAAACAATAACAATTAAAACTTAAATACATGGGACCGAATTGAATGAAAAACAGAAGTGTGTATCGATTTTAGGAGAAAATGGGGGCGACAATAGAAGAACTAAAGAACGGAGGACCAAAACTGTGGTTTACCCTATTTAAACGAAAACACGTGGGTCGTATGGCGCTGGGTCGGTTCAGTTGGCTCCACGGTTTGGTTAAATGGGAATTATAAAAGTTAATTAAAAAATTTTTTAATTTTAGAAGGCTTCATTTCTTCTTCTCTCTCGCGAAGAGCTTCCCCGTCCCTTTGAAAACACTCTCAAGTGTTCATCAACCAGATGAACAACGGCCGTGGATCCCAGAGTTCGGCCGCCTTGTCTTGTCGACGCTGCCGTCCACTGGAAGTGGAAAAAAAAAGTTTCCATTTTTCTAAAAGATCTCCCCCCATGTTCTGAAAATCCAGGTTGGTTCCTTTTTTTTTTTAAAATCGCCTCGGGGAGCCGTGGATCTAAAGGAGAAGATCTTGGCTTATCCCCTATTTTCATCAGCCAGGAACCCTTTTCTGGGTTTTATTCGAATCAAAATCAGTGGAATAACTATGCATGCAAGACGAAAAAAAGAAAGGTATGATTTTTGTACCCTTTTATTTCTTCACAAAATGATTACAAAATGCTTGTGTTTACCCCGAATGGCTTCTGATCTCTCTCGATGTTCCCGTGTGAAAGCTGTGTAATTGTCTATCTGTCTCTCGTATGATTTTGTGGGTAATCTCCCTCTGTAAAAACCTCCCCCTTATCGTGAGAATTACATGTTTATTTATAATCAAAAACTACACTTAGAATCCTATTTTAACTAGAATCCCAATCCTTGTTGTCTTCTCTTGTGATTTGTTATTGCTTTCTGCGTGACGTTGGTGAGGTTGAGGAATTCACGGCGCTGAGAAAACCGGATGAGGGAAACGTGGGTGGCGAGGACTCGTGAGGCAAGGATTGCGCCGCTAAAGAGGGAAGCTGCTAGGGTTTCTGGAAACCCTAGCTCCAGCTGGGTTGCGTGCGTGGGCTTGCTATTGTATTTGGGCACCAATTGGGCCTGAAAAATGTAAATAAATGTATTAGATATAAATGGATATATAATATAATTTATAATATAAATCTATATTATATAATATAATGAATGATGAAATTTAGTGTCTTCAGCTGCCCCTCTTTGCTCATTATCGTGTAACGAAAATAAAGCAAAGATTAAAAGACATAAATTTCGTCCCTATCGAATATCCTTTGTCGTAGAGTTGAAATTCGATGTTAAGACTGGTTTTTTAAAACACGAGATGACTCCCTCGTCGTGAGGTTGAGTTAAAACTGGAAGATTCTAAGCCTGAATCCTTCGTCGTGAAATTGAAATCGAACTCGTGAAGTTGAAATCGAACTCAGAGTTCTGGAGGTAGCTCATGGATCGTCTTCTAGCCAAAGATACTTCGTTGTGAAGCTGAAATTGGGAAATTGTTTATTGACAACCAGCGGTCCCTTCGTTGTGAAGTTGAACTTGCGTTGTTTGGAGTCCAATATCCTTCGTTGTGAAGTTGAAATTGGCTCTGAAATTGAGAAGTTGACAGTCAGCGGTCCCTTCGTCGTGAAGTTGAACTTGTACTGTCTTGAGTCCAATATCCTTCGTTGTGAAGTTGAAATCAAACTTGTTTATTGACAACCAGCGGTCCCTTCGTCGTAAAGTTGAACTTGCGTTGTCTGGAGTCCAATATCCTTCGTTGTGAAGTTGAGATTGGCTCCGAATTTGAGAAATGTTTGTTGACAACCAGCGGTCCCTTCGTCGTGAAGTTGAACTTGCGTTGTCTGGAGTCCAATATCCTTCGTTGTGAAGTTGAAATTGGTTCTGAATTTGAGAAATGTTTGTTGACAACCAGCGGTCCCTTCGTCGTGAAGTTGAACTTGCGTTGTCTGGAGTCCAATATCCTTCGTTGTGAAGTTGAAATTGGCTCTGAATTTGAGCAATGTTTGTTGACAACCAGCGGTCCCTTCGTCGTGAAGTTGAACTTGCGTTGTCTGGAGTCCAATATCCTTCGTTGTGAAGTTGAAATTGGCTCTGAATTTGAGCAATGTTTGTTGACAACCAGCGGTCCCTTCGTCGTGAAGTTGAACTTGCATTGTCTGGAGTCCAATATCCTTCGTTGTGAAGTTGAAATTGACTCTGAATCTGAGAAATGTTTGTTGACAACCAGCGGTCCCTTCGTCGTGAAGTTGAACTTGCGTTGTCTGGAGTCCAATATCCTTCGTTGTGAAGTTGAAATTGGCTCTGAAATTGAGAAATGTTTGTTGACAACCAGCGGTCCCTTCGTCGTGAAGTTGAACTTGCGTTGTCTGGAGTCCAATATCCTTCGTTGTGAAGTTGAAATTGGCTATGGGTATAACCTGCAAAAATATGCACATATGTGATGTTATGGATGTCATGCTCTTAGGTATGCCTA